GACAACAACATGTAAGGAAGCCCAAGGCGAAGCCAGGCTTCCGCGCTAGTTAACACTAGCCCTGGCTTCCCCAGAGGTCATTGCCACCTGGGGCAGCAATTGGGAGTTATGTACATAATAAATCACTCCTTCTGGTGACTTGTGTCTCTTAACTTCCAAACTGGGATTTGGCTTGATGATTGATGTGATCCGAGTACAGTCCACTACTTAGACCCCTATAGAGTAACTAAAATCATAAAATCTGAAGTTTTTGAAAGAGCCATAGGCAGTCATCAAAAGAGCCATATATGGCTCGCGAGCCATGCGTTGCCGACCCCGGACCTAGACGCACGTGTGTGTGTCCGAGTGGATGTAGGTTAAGTCTCTACAGGTTAGCGCGACTGTAAGCGCTGTCCGAGGTATTGGATGACCTTGAGGCAGCTGACATTGAACAATGACGCCAAATAAAGCGATGGAGGGCGTCGGACGGCAAGAACCGTTGCAGGCACGCCAATGGGTTCACCCATTTCCAGACTCATAGCAGACGCATTCCTGCAAAGGTTGGATTCGCGGGTTTTCCAAAACCACAGACCGAAATTCTGGGCTCGGTATATGGACGAGACTTTCGTCATAATTGGGCGGGATCAGGTGCTGACGTTCAAGGAACGTCTAAACGCCGTATTCCCGGACATTCAATTTACGATAGAGGAAGAAGAAAACAACCAGCTAGCCTTCCTGGATGTCCTCGTTTGCCGCAAGGACGGTAGTGTCCTAAAAACTAAAGTGATCAGGAAAGCAACCAACACTATGCAAGTCTTGAACTACAACAGTAACCACCTAGTCGGGCACAAACGCAGCTGCGTAAGAGCGCTGTACCGGCGCGTTTAAACACATTGCAGCGAAGTGGAAGACACAGTTGCCGAATAACATACGGTGTACTGAGAGGTTTCCTTAGCAAGAGAATCAGTCACGTGGGAAGGACGGGGCGCAGCAACGACTATGACGACAGCGGGCATGATTGTTACGCAATTATCAGGCCTGCATCCGACGCTGGCAATAAGTGGGTCGAACGCGAAGTTTCAAGCCAGCACCACATCAATTATCATCCAAGCGGTGGCT